TTATACTCCCCTAAATGTGAGTTTACAAACCAAAGTTGTCCTTCAACCAACGACAGCTCACTGCGGTTGGACCGAATCACTGTCAGGAAAAACAGCAGAGGCAGGGACTCCCAATGTCTTCAGCAAGGCATTTCATCTCAGAGTACTTTCCGCAGAGTACTCTTCTCAGAGTACTCATCCCAGAGTACTCTCACTTTTACACCTGTTCAATAAAGCTTGTTATCTTTGAATCTCTAGTACTTACACCGTATGCTGTTGACAAAAAATAATTATTCCATGATCACATTAAAACATTACAGACACATTTGTTATTCCATTCTCCGTTCAGCATTCCTCATTTCACTCCTCATTTCACACCACACTCACATCACACTCACATCACAGTCACATCACAGGCCGATTCCCCACGTTAGTATTGGTCCAGAGTTTGTTAAGGTCAACGTAGTGTACTTTGACATGACACACAAACATATAACATACACAAAACATATAACACACACCAACATATAACACACACAAACATATAACAACACAGAAGGCCTGTAATTTTAACTTTGTTATATTTTTCCATGTCCAATTACAATTGTCTCATGAGCTATTCCTATTGTTGCAACTTTCAGAGCCTGCAGAGCTTTAAAAGAGTTTTCCTAAAAGGATCCATTTCCAACTTTAGTGTTTACCACGTGGTCTGTATTTCGGGCTTATCACAGATTGTGTCCCCTATATCTCTAATGAGCTCTTGTCACCTTAAAAATGTTTATTTTCCTTATTTTTTCTTTTTCAATAAAGCCAGGTCGGATTCATTAAAAATGTAAATTAGTCTCAAACTTTAATACTTCACCTTTGTTTCACGATAAAAATGTTTTTGTTGCTCATTAAGTCGCACAGATACCATAGCGTGGTGCCTATCCCAATAAACATACTCCGTTTGTAGCCTATCTTTACTACACTGAAGCCATGAATTTTCAAACTCTAAGTTATTGTCTGGGAACGACCGGAGAGAGCAGCTTAGGTCGTTCGCGTGGTTGACCTCCAAATTTTGTGCGGGCGTAACTCTATTCACTGTTGTGGCTAATAACTTAGCAATCTCAGGGTTTGGTGTCAATTTCCAGTGGTAGTTAACTTTTGGGACCGGTGCCTCCTTGTGCATGCCGGTGAGACATGGAGCATTTGCTAGCTCACTAGCGTGTACCACCCGTAGGCCGCTTGGTGTTGAGAGCAGATTTAAATTGAGTCTGCACATAAGGTCTCGGCCTAGTAGATTAACCGGGCACAATGGGGAATATAGAAAAGAATGTTTAAGCTGGTTGCCCTGAGAATCAAAACACGTTAGCGGTGACGTAAATTGCTCTTTAGTCGTCTCTCCCGACGCTGCTAATGAGAATGTGAAACGGCCACTCATTTTAGGGGAGACAGAAAGGCTGTCACTTTTTAGCACAGAATTTGTTGCCCCGGAGTCATCCAGAATTTTAAGTTTTACACCACAGATTGTTAGCGTATGTTACGGGAATTCAGCATGAATTATCTCTAAAAAGTGCCAATTGCAATTTGTTCTTGTTCAAACTTACATGAGCGGTCGCTTTGGTGACGAATGTGAACCCGGGTTTGGTCAGTCGCTCGTGTTTCCTCCACGCCCGCCTCTGCCGTCCTCTGGCCCCGTGTGGGCCTCTGCCTTTAACGCCTCCTCCGGTGACAGTCCTTCGACCCATGTCGAGCACACAGTCTTTCCGCCGGGCTGTGGAAGTTTCTCAAAGTCCGCAGGAGGCCCAGGTAGCCCAAAGCGTTAGCCTGTGGTCCATGAGGGTTGGTGAATAACCAAACGTGCCGGTACTTTTGGCTTCTTCTGTTTGCGGTGCGGGGGCAACTTTCAACGAGGTTTCGGCGGGTGCGTTTGGTGTATCACGCTGTCGCCTCCGTGGGGAACAGTCACGGGATTTGGAGCAGTTTGTCTCTGGCCTTCAAAGCAGTTGTCGGTGTCTCACATATCTGCTTCCCCCGCTTCTTCTTCTGCGGTTTCCTGAGCGTGTATCTGCTTCCGCCACTTCTTCTTCTGCTCCCGGGTTTGGGCCCACTTCTCGCGGGGTCTCAGCTGGTGCGAGCGCCGCCTGTGGTTGGGGCGTGGGGCTGGGGCTTTGAGGCAGAGGACAGAGCGCGGAGGAAAAGCGCCGACAGACCTGGACAGGGAGGAAAAAGGGACAACAGTAGTCTGCTCATTTTTTTTAAAACCCAACGCCTTGTTTGGGTGCACACTTATTGTTAGTAGGGGAAAAGGGGCGGTAGGGTGGGGGTGTGGGGGATGTGTGTGTGTGTGTGTGTGTGTGTCCGCCTGTGTGTTCTCCGCTTCGGTGAAAAGCGGAGGGGCTATTGTTTTTACATATTTCTTTCTCTAACGTCTTTTGCCGTGATATTCTTAAAACCAAGTATATTTTTTCTTCCCTTCTTCTTCTAAATTATCACGCAAGATGCGTAATTGATTCGGAGACATAGAGCCTCCATCGGAAAAAGCCAGATGACCTGCACCATAGGCAAGCACTCCATAGCTTGCATCTCTAGATTGATTTTTCCCCATTTTCTCGTACGAACAATGGACCTAACCCGCTTAGTCTCTTCCCTGCTCCTACCCACTTTGGGGCGCTCCGTTCCCCCCCCCGCTGGTTCAACCAGCGAGCGCGCGTTCTTGAAACGGAGCGGGTCTGGCTGAAGACACTTGGAGAAATTATCAGGGTCGCCTACAGAGCGATTACTAACGCGCAGCCGCTAGCTTCAATCTAGAACAAAAAGACCCCAAAAAATCCCGCACACAGTCTATGCTGTGGCAATGAATGAAATACCCCAAAAATACATAAATAAACAAATCCCCGTGTACACTTAAGTGCTCGTTACGCAGATGAAAAGACAAAACTCACCAAATTAGGTTCTTTTTGGTCTTGTGTGGCAAAAGATTCCTTCCATGCGCCGGACGAGCGCGCCCTCCTTTGTCACCAAATAGAACAGAGGCTGGTGTTGTTTCCAGGTCGGCCAAACGCGGCCGCTCGTCCCCGCCGAAAGGATCCATGCCAAGACATGTCAGCAACGCCAAATTGTTATAGAATTACATACCCCAAAGCAAGGAGAAAGCCCAAAAGTATTTGTCTTAAATCAGGAGCGTAAGTTTATTGTAACACACGTGCGGAGAGCTAGCATATTCTAAAGGCAGCATACCCAGCTCTGGCCCGCAGAGCTCAGGCTTCCTGTTTACATAGAAAGACAGTCACGCCCACAACAGATGGGAGGGGGCCACCGGTGAAGGAGGCGCATAGGGAGCGCAGGCGCCATGTCCTGTGGTGAGGCAATCAGACACAGGGCATGGAGGTGCGAACAGACAGACAATGGTAGAAATGCAGACATACAGATGCAAGATACGAAAGACACAAGGGTGTGACAGACAGCAGGGACCTTCACAAAGCTCAGCATGGCGTCAGAAGGTCGTCTCTGCATTGATAAAAGGCCTTTGACGTCCGTGTATTTGCTGCGGCTGGTTTTAATGTAATTACTCTAAAAACTGTCATTACACTCCCCTCTTTAACGTAGCCCGGCTAAGACCGGCATGGGCCCTTGGACTGTTATGCTGGCCACACTGACACTACTTTCCGTGCTGACCGTGTTTATTATGTTAATATTGTCTTCTCTTATCGCTGTCCGGATCCATTGTGTTATTATAATGTGCTCTTTCTTTTATTGACAAGCATGTTTCTTTTCTTGTCCACTTTGGACAGCAATAATTTAAGTGTTTCAAGCTTGAAGGTGATGTGACTACGATGCCTCTGGTATTTAACTGATTAATGCAAAAATGGTTTTGAATTATCAAAAGAGGGGAGTGTAATGACAGTTTTTAGAGTAATTACATTAAAACCAGCCGCAGCAAATACACGGACGTCAAAGGCCTTTTATCAATGCAGAGACGACCTTCTGACGCCATGCTGAGCTTTGTGAAGGTCCCTGCTGTCTGTCACACCCTTGTGTCTTTCGTATCTTGCATCTGTATGTCTGCATTTCTACCATTGTCTGTCTGTTCGCACCTCCATGCCCTGTGTCTGATTGCCTCACCACAGGGGCATGGCGCCTGCGCTCCCTATGCGCCTCCTTCACCGGTGGCCCCCTCCCATCTGTTGTGGGCGTGACTGTCTTTCTATGTAAACAGGAAGCCTGAGCTCTGCGGGCCAGAGCTGGGTATGCTGCCTTTAGGATATGCTAGCTCTCCGCACGTGTGTTACAATAAACTTACGCTCCTGATTTAAGACAAATACTTTTGGGCTTTCTCCTTGCTTTGGGGTATGTAATTCTATAACACTACTCAAAGGGAAAAGCTGTACCAATGTCTCTACAGTGTTTACATTCGTCGCTTATGATCAGAATCAGAATCAGAATCATTTGTATTGCCACGTAAGTAACAGGAGGTCACAGACTTGGAAATTGCTTTGGCTCGGTGCAACAGTCAGAGAGAGAGAATAAAATAAGATAAATGAAATAAAAAGAATAAAAAACACTTCTAAGGAATACATTTAAAATAAACATTTAAATGATTGTAATGTTCTGACTTTTTTTGAGCAGACAGATAAAACTGTATATCAGACACACCAAGGCTGCCTGAAATGTCTTAATTCCTGCAGGCACAAACAGAGTGCTTGTACTTTCCCATCTTAGATTTCTCAATAAAGTCCTCAAGCAGTCGTTGTTTGCCACATTTAGTTTAAAGGTGGATGCGTTTGCATTTTGTCCATAGGTGGGTTGTGTATAGTGCCGTAGAAAATGCTTTAAAATGTTTATTTTCCCTTTCTGCTGGACAAGCACCAAATCTCATTCATCATTCAACATTGTCTGATCATGTCCTCACACATAAAATGGACCATAACATCTCGAAAAAGAAAAGAAGGTTGCACCTGACAAGTGTTAACTAACTCTAATAAATGGATTGACCTTCTTCACAGATTCACCGATTCACGCATCTCCTTCTCTTGTAGGTGCGTACCCGGGACACGGCTGCTCCCATCGGGGCTTTCATGTGGCCTCTGCACTGGTCCATGTGGCTCGGGATCTTCGTCTCTCTGCACGTCACCGCTGTGTTCCTCACCTTGTACGAGTGGCACAGTCCGTTCGGCATGACGCCTCGTGGACGCAACCGGGACAAAGTCTTCTCCTTCTCCTCTGCTCTGAATGTGTGCTACGCCATTTTGTTTGGACGTACTGTGGCCATCAAGACGCCCAAGTGCTGGACTGGACGTCTGCTGATGAATCTGTGGGCTATCTTCTGCCTGTTCTGCCTGTCCACGTACACGGCCAACCTGGCCGCTGTGATGGTCGGGGAGAAGACCTACGAGCAGTTGTCAGGGATTCACGACCCAAAGGTATTTTATTGTGAATTTGTAAAACATAAACTTCCCATCAGTCATTGGTCACAATATCCATTATCATCATATTCAAGAATATTGGTCAAGGATTTTTTTTATTAAATAATGTTTCAAACTGCAAGCACTCAGACCTTTCTTTCACATTTTTAAGTAAATAATATCTGATTTATTGGAATCTTGATCAGGAATTAGGACGGCAGCTATCGGTTATACTTAAAGGGACCATATTTGTTTATTTGAGTAAGAACAACAACAAAACACAGCATAATTGAATGTATATTACTTGTATATTTTAGACAAACAAAAATTAAGGAGTTAGTGCATTTTTTGGGCGGCACGGTGGCTGAGTGGATAGCTCTCTCGCTTCTCAGCAAGAAGGTCCTTGGTTCGAATCCCGGTCGGAACAGAGTGGAGTTTGCATGTTCTCCCTGGGTCTGCGTAGGTTTCCTCCGGGTGCTCCGGTTTCCCCTACCACTAAAAACATGTTCAATAGGTCTGGCATGCGGCTCCTGTACTGGCGACCCCGCTCCCATCTCTGTGTGGAGTGAGAGGACAAGTGCCCAAAAATAACAATTGTAAACTGCTTTGTGACTCTGGTCTGTGAAAGGAGGTGTATAAATAAATATTACTTACTTACTTACTAAATAACATTTGAATTTTGATCTGTGGCTCGAAGCAGCTCTGTCTGAAATACATTATTATTTTGTCAGTGTTTACAGTGATTATAAAGATATGATATTTAATCAAGGGAATGAAATTGTAATCAAAACAAATCATTAAATGAGTCTACTCTTTATTTTGTCATAATAGCACCAGAACGGCATCTCTGGGGTTATTCCAATGTATATGTTTGTTTTGCTGTTTTATTTTTTTTTTTGCTACATTTGTATTAAATGTGGAGTACAAATGGAGTCAATTAGTTGTGTTTTGTCCAACCACATTTTAATCTTTTCTTCATTATTCCCCCATTGTGAAAACCGCTCCATAAAAGTTTGAAATGGCCCAAATAACAGCTCACATGTGAAAAGAAAAGATATTGTCTTGTTTTGTGTCAAGGTGCCTCTGTTTTCTTTCCCGCAGTTGCACCATCCGTCTCAGGGGTTCCGGTTCGCCACAGTGAGAGAGAGCAGTGCAGAAGACTACCTCAAGAAGAGTTTCCCCGAGATGCACGAATACATGAGGCGATACAATGTCCCGGCCACTCCAGACGGCATCCACAACCTCAAGTAAGAACAAATCTACATGTGTGGACACCTGCAGAAATGCATATATACATAATTTAATGGGAATTTGTTGGATATTTGAGCATGACAAAAGGTAGGTACAGATTTTAATAAGGGTAGCCATCACGTGAACTCATCAGATATGCGGATGCGATTTTTCTACTTCTACTACTACGTGAAATTGACCAAACTATTTTAGGGGTTGTGTGCTGTCTTAGTGCGAGAATGTGAGCATACCATTACAGGACTTTTTCCATGTTCACGTGATCTCCAAAACTCGACATTTCTAACTTCCCCAGTCTGAAAAATAGATTTGAACTTTGCTTTAATTCAACTTAGAAACTCGGGCGGGAACAATTGTCCCTGAGTTTGTGTCACTGTGACTGGATGAACGAGAACAGACACTATGTTTGTTCTTTGCAAAATAAACTAGGGACTGATTTGTAGATGTATTTTTAGCATAAATATCTAAAGTTGTATACTCATAAGCACATGTATTATAAGAAACTCCATATTTGCTTGTGAATTTCTCATATCAAAACATTGAAATCCTCATTACTTTTCTAAAATATTAGCAAAGAAAAATCCAGTTAACTGTCAAAATACTTCTATAGTTGATGCAGTGGCTCCTCCTGTTTTTGGGAAGTTGAGAGGTTGAAAGCTGCAAGAGACAGAAGCTTTCAGACAGAAGGGGCAGAGCTACATGTTTGTGCCAGATGTTTCTAGTGGATGGATCTAAACACAACCCCAGGTCTATTTTTGACGAGAAAACATTGTTGTGAAAAGCATACAAAAGTGGATCTTGTATACTCTCCCATTTAAGTACAAAGCACAATGCGCTTATATGAACCTTGAACGCAAGCTTCATTTCACTACCGTCCAACCCTTTCACAATACTTTGCTTCATACTTATCTATAAATCTTGGTAGAAAATACTATGCGTCAAACAAACATTTTTTTTCCTAAACATCAGTAAGAAGTTAAAAAAATCTAATCTCTTTCAAATCCTCTAGTCTTTTCTATTCCTTCTTGTCATACTGAGAAACAGCCTCTCTCTGTGGGATAATACTAGTCTATGCATGAGGTCCAAACATAAAATCCTTCCCGTGTTTGTGTCACTTTCCTTTTGGCATTCAGAACTCGTCTCATCTTTACTCTTCCATCTTAAACCATTTTGACATTCCTCTGGCAACCCCTGCAGAGCATAAACCCAATATTGTGAAGCAAGGCGGTATAGGGTGGCAAGCCTGGGAGCTGTGGTGGCACGGCATTAGAATGGATGACACCAGATTTTCACAGCTGAGATGCTGATTAAAAAATGGGGAAAAAATGTACAGAAGAAAATGAAAAGCATGAACAAGGAGGAGTACAGCGAATGCCAAAGTGTGACATAAAGTGTGGAGCAGACATGGATGCGGTAGAACAATGAGAACGATTTTTTGATAGTGTTAAAAAGAACTGAAATGTCAAGTTTTGAAAGCAACTGCCCCACAGTATCAGCAAGTGACTCCCCAAAGTCAAGTTTCAGGTCACTGTATGAATAAATGTTCTTCAAAATATGTATTAAAGCTGGGTTACCTAACTTTCAAACCACAGATAATGGTATAAGTCTATAGTTTTTCACTCAAAAGAACTATAGATTTACATTACCAGTTTTTTTTGGCCTCTATGAGTTTTTTCAGACAGAAAAATAAAACAGAGAGCACCAATCCCGCCCAGTTCACAGCCCAGAGCATCAAGTAGTGACAAAAAGAGCTTTTAAATCCTTGTTGTGGCATTATAATCCATGATCATCTCTGGTTTATGATGTTCCCGGACACAGATTCTTCCATCCTCGTGCAGTTACTCATGAGCACCACATTCTTGCCTTCCTTTGGCACATAGGATATCAGTTGTTTGCTGTATGTACTCGAACTGGATTCTGCGTCCTCTGTGGCTGCAGCGTTCTGACCCAGGGCAGCTGTGGCTGCTTTGTAGTAACAGGGCTACAATTATAGTGTCCCACCTCCATTTTATAGCAGATAGTGTGAGGAAATAAAGATTCCCACAGAGGGTCAAATGTGCAAGAAAATGAAAGCAGACAGTGTTGACAAACAATGTTGGAACCTTGTGTGGGAACTGCTTATTTTGTGTTTCTGCACCTGCGGTTCTCGCATTTGATCCTCTGATGTTCTGTGTACCCTCTGTGTCCTCCTCCTGTCTATGGTGTGTATGTGTACACACCATAACACTACACAAGGGTTAATTAAATAAATACAGCAAATAGTAGTCAGATTTTTTCACGACATTTTATCATTACAAGACTATTTCTGCTAAGACAAACGAAACATGTAATGTATATTTGGGCTGCCTAACTTAATTTGATTTCATAAAATGGAAAGCTGTTCATATTATTAATTAATGAATCCCTACCATCCTAGAGAATCTTGGAAAGCAAAGCCCCTTTTCGTAAGTTGTGGCTCATGAAAAAGGAACGTCTCGGGTGACTTGGTCATAGAGGACCTTTACTTACAACAGCCATATTTACAATTGTACAAATCCACCTAATTTAGACTTGCATTTATCTTAAACTTGTTCAGACATAGAATCCAGAATTGGTGCAGTTATCAAAACAATGTCTGGTCATGTTATGGGTGGTTTTCAAAAATCCCTCATGACTATTTTAGACTCACAAACTTCATTGTATAGTATTAACTTTTGGTTTACGTGTAGGATTATATATTTATTTCCTCAGTGCCTGAAATGTTTGATTTTAGGATCATTTAACTTACGTGTTTGGATATTTTGGCATAAAAATCATGACAGCAATAAGTGACCAAAAAGAGATGTGTTTTCAGTCATGTAAACTTGGTCGCTGCACCATGTCTCTTCAATGCGATCATAAAAACAAAACCAAAACAGCTAACTGCTGCCTGTGTAAATATAGCAGTAGGGGCAAGTGATACACACATTATTACGAGCTATCAGGGCACAATCTTGTTCTCTTTATGTCCTTGTTATAGTCTCTTTTATCTGCCTCCAGTGAAACTATTTCCTGGTCACAAAGTGCGTCCATTAATAATAGACTTGCAAGCGGCAGTCCAGAGTGGGCCAACCAAACCCATATTATTTATTTTTTTAAAGAAAACCATTATATGAATTATGAACACTGAAGCTGAAAATTAATCCAAACATTTTCTTCAGCTTAGAACCCACACCATCATCTGGGCCGGCAACACAGAGACGGACAGTCACTGTGTCTGACTCAGGAGACATGAGTGTTTACGTGGATAAATGGCCTGTTTAAAATGCAGTTGATGGAGGTGGAAATAGAAACTTTCCAGTGAATTTAATTGAACTTCTAAAATAAAACAGCTCCAAAGTTTTATTGCTAACATAAAGTTACCCAAAATGTGATCTGACTTGAACATCTTCTGTAGTCTATTCTCTGCTCAGCCCTGTGGGTGAACAGTTCATTGACACAGCCATGTATGTCTCAAGTGTAATTAATTATTTCCAGTTAAAAAAAGTTATTTTCACTATCATGCTCTTAACAATGACAGCATAGACTGACAATTTATGATAGGAGTTTCTCATTTAGCTCTTAAAGGAGCTATACCCGTTTCTACAAGGTTTTTTTCAGTTTCATTGTTTAGCACCACCGCCCCTTCTAATTTCCATACGCTCTCATACCACGAAGCCATCTAGTTTTATTTGCGATCCGATGCGTATGCAAATAATAGCATTTGTGCAACTTCTTGTAAACTGTACAACAATCACTGATGAAATGGTACAAAAGCAATACACTGATAACAAAATATAACCGAAAGATTACCGCTAGTTTCACGTTCATGTTGCGTTGTTTGCGCTATTTAGCTGTGTCTGCAGTTACAGCCAGAGGAGCTATAGCCGCTATCACTACACTGCTCTTGTTAACCTGCGCTGTAGACGCTAGAGGAGAGCGGGCGTCACGCTAAGTTTCGACTCGGCCTCTGCGTAAGTTTCTACTTGGGCCGGGATTCATACACAAGCTGAATGGGCTCAAGTTTTTAATTAAATTACAGATTTGAATACAACTTGTATGTAGTAATGCACATTTTTATGAACTCATGAGAAAATAAATTGGGTTTATCTTCATTAACTGTGACTAACTCACATACAGTGTTAGCATCATCCTCTACATTTTTGGACGAAGGACATTCAAACTACAACTTTAATCAGTGATAATCCTTTGGATACAAAGCCAAGCTAGGGGTTTGAATCAGACCTTCATAAGAACTTTAAAAGCTCAAACTGGACTTTGTGAGGTTGCTGTCCCAGCAGGCTCGACCTGTCTCCACACAGTAGATTTGTGAAAACCTTGCTCGCGGCGTTGTGACTTAATATCACACCTCTGTACTGCAGACAGGAGTGAGAAATGGTAGTAAATTGGCAGAAAGTGGCTGACAGGCAGTCATTTTAATGGTGTGAGGCCCGTCCAAGTGCTGGGAAGACCATGGACAAGGCTAGACTCAAAGAGAGAATATTCTCAACAAGCTAACGACCCTGGCAGTCAACAAGTGCACTTTTATAATGATGTATGACAAGGTTTTAGTAGAAACCCTCAAATAAAGAAAATATTGAATTGTTCATGAGATCATTTTTCAGAGGCTGGACTATACCTACAAATCTGCGGTTTAAAGCTGCACTAACTGACTTTATTTTTGTATTAATTACTAAAATGCTATCCATGTCCATGCAGTGCATTGGAATAAACGTCCTTTTGAAGCAAAAGTAGCCCAGATTTGTGCTGGCGTGACATTATATTTTAGATCAAGTTTTGATGAAACAAGGAAGAGAATGTGTTTCGGGTCGCAGATTGTGACCAATCACAGCGAACCACTAGCCCCCACTTTCGTGAGAAATCTACAGGTCCGTTAGCATAGACGGCTGAGTTAGCACAACAAGCCGAGGAGCTAACCTGAAGCTTCGTGTGTCTTCGTCACCGGTTACTGCTTACTTAGCGAGACAGCCATCCAAAAGAA